CAGCAGCAGCAGCAAACGTGCTGCAGCACAGCAGCATCAATTATTAAAAGCGTTGCTTCTTGAATGCCGAGATATCAGGGCTCGTGCTGCTGCTGCTGCTGCTGCTGCTAGCATGACATCAGCAGCAGCAACAGCAGCAACAGCAGCAGCAGCAGCAACAGCAGCAATATATGTTGTTGCTGTATGGAGGTGGGGGCCCCCCCAGTCATTGAGTTGTCTATTTAAGGAGCTGTCTCCTCTCTCCCTGCAGCAGCTGCATGCATTGCTGCAGCAGCAGCAACAGCAGCAGCAGCAGCAGGATCTGCAGCTGCTGCAGGCACCACAACCTGCTGCTGCTGCTGCTGCTGCTGCTGCTGCTGCTGTATTCCCTGAAGCAGCGGATGGTGTCTTAGATGAGTTCAATGCAGCAATCAACAAAGCAACTGCTGCTGCCCTCAAGAGACACCTAAACAGCAGCAGCAGCAGCAGCAGCAGCAGCAGTAGCAGCAGCAGCAGCAGCAGCAGCAGCAGCAGCTGTACTGCTCTTCATAAGGAGTTGCTGGGGGCCTCCGGGTTGCCTCGGCTGCGGCTGCAGTGTTGCTGCTCATCCTGCTGCTCAAGGAGGGGAGAGAGCAGCAGCAGCAGCAGCAGCAGCAGCAACAGCAACAGCAGCAGCAGCAACAGGAGCAGCATTTGCTGCTGGAGGAGGGGAGAGAGGAGAGGGGAGCCAATATGTATATTAATATTAGGTGACGATACACCTGAGGGTAGTTTGCTGCTGCCTGTGCTGCAGCAGCTGCTGCAGCAGCAGCTGCAGCAGCAACCCCACTGTTTTGCTGCTGCTGCTGCAGATATAATGGATGCTGCTGTGGGGAGATCGCAGCAGCAGCTGCTGCTGCTGTTCTCTCGTGCTGCAGCAGCAGGTGCTGCTGTGTGTCTGCTGCAGCTAGAGGAGATAGTAGGCACAACAGCAGCAGCAGCAGAAGCAGCAACAGCAGCAGAAGAAGAAGGGAGAGCAGCAATACAACGAGACCTAGCAGCAATGCTGCAGGTTGCTGTTGAGGTGTACGTACACTCCATTGGTGTCCCTCTTATCTGCAGCAGCAGCAGCAGCAAACCCCACCTGCTGCCTCTTGGTGTTATTAAATTATTTACTAATATTATTAAAATAAAAAGCAGCAGCTGCAGCAGCAGCAAGAGCAGCAGCTGCAGCAGCAGCAAGAGCAGCAGCTGCAGCAGCAGCAGCAGGAGAGGGATGGGGAAGAAGCAGCAATACAGCGCTGCACCCATAGCAGCAACAGCAGCAGCAGCAGCAGGCAACAACTGATATTTTGCTGCTGCAGCAAGTGCTGCTGCTGGTGTTGTTGTTGTTGCTGGTGCAGCAAGTGCTGCTGCAGCAGGTGCTGCTGCAGCAAGTGCTGTTGCTGCTGTTGCCGTTGTTGCTGTTGCAGCAAGTGCTGCAGCAGCAGCCAGCAGCAAAAGGCATTGACGAATTATTTAGACAAAAAACTTTTATTAGTGCAGCGTAGTTTACTAGCAGCAACAGCAACAGCAGCAGCAGCAGCTGCTGCTGCCTGCTATTGCTCCCTTTACCCGTAGCTGCTGCTGCATGCAGTTGTTGCTGCTTCTGCATGCAGCTTTTGCTGCTGCTGCTGCTGCTTCGTTTTGTAGATAAGGGTAGATATACAGAAGAACAACGATAGAGAAGTATAGAGACGCACCAGACACAGCAGCAGCAGCAGCAGCAGCACCAGCAGCAGCAGCAGCAACATTAACAGCAGCAGCAACAGCCATAGCAGCACAATACCAATAGCAGCAACAAGAGCAGCAACAGCAGCAACAACAGCAACAACAGCAGCAGCAACTGCAGCACACGAAGACATTGGCAGATGTCTTGTTACACATAAACTCAGGTGTATACCCACCTCCTGCTGCCAAGGCACATATGCTGCTGCTGCTGCTGCTGGTACTGCAGCAGCAGCAGATGCTGCTGTTGCTGCAGCACTATATATAATTTAATTTAATATAATTAACTAAATAATAATTTAATTATTATATTATTAATTAATTAAATTAAATTATTATTTATTTATTTGTTGCTGCTAACAACGGCAGCAAAGGCAGCAAGAGGGCGCATGCAGAGCTGCCGACAGCCCCATTGCATGCATGCATACATGCATGCAGCAGCAAAAAAGGAGTTAAAAATAAATTAAATAATAAAATATATACTATTTATGTTTATATAAACTGCATGCAGGAGCAGCAGCAACAGCAGCAGCCGCAGCAGCGGCGGTGATAGCAGCAGCAACAGGTCGGCAGTGATACCCGAGCCCCGAGTGTTAGCTGCTGCTGTTGCTGCTGCTGCTGCTGTTGTTGCAGTTGTTATGCTGCAGCAGCAGCAGCAGCAGCAGGATTTAGGTAGCGTACTGTGGGGTATCTAACAGTACACCCAGAAGGTAGCGGCAGCAGCAGTGCTGCGCCCTTGCTGCTGCAGGAGCAGCAGCAACAACAACAGCAGCTGCAGCAGCAGCAATCCTGCAGCAGCAGCAGCAGCAATCCTTCAGCCGCAGCAAAATGTCTGGCTCAAGCGACAGCAGCAGCAACGGCGAGTACAGCAGCGGGGAAGACAGTGACTGCAGCATCAGCAGCAACAGCAGCAGCAAGCGCAGCAGCAGCAGCAGACATGAGGCAGCGGACAGCAGCAGCAGCAGCTCTTCTGAGTATGCAACAATGGGTGGCTGCGCAAGCAGAAACAGACCTGCATCTAATGCAGCAGCAGCAGCAGCAGTAGGTGCTGCTGCTGCTGAACGCCGAAGCAGCAGCAGCAGCAACAACAGCAGTAGCAGTAGCAGCAGCAGCAGCAGCACAGAGGCACCAAGTGCAGCAGCAACACCAGCAGCAGCAGCAGCAGACGACGACGAAGGATTAACTGATTCAGCAGATGCTGCTGCTTCGGACATGAGCGCGGAGGATACAAAGGCAGCAGCAGCAGCAGCAGCAGCAGCAGCAGCAGAAGCAGCAGCAGCAGCAAAAGATGAAACAGTAGCAGGAAGTGCAGCAGCTGAAGCTTCTTCTGCAGCAGCAGCAGCAGCAGCAGAAGCAGCAGCAGCGATAAGTGAAGCAGCAGCAGCAGAGAAGCAGCAGGACGAAAGTGCAGCAAGAGGAGCTGCAGCAGCAGCATCAGAAGAAGCAGAAGCAGCAGCAGGAGAAGCAGCAGCAGCAGAACCTAAGGCCGCGCATGCAGCAGCAGGAGCTGCAGCAGCAGAAGCCGCAGCAGCAGAAGGTGAACCGGCAGCAGCAGCTGCTGCAGCAACAGAAGCGGCAGAAGCACAAGATACAGCAGCAGAACCTGTTGCTGCAGCAACGGAAGTTGCAGCAGGAGTAGATACAGCAGCAGAAGGTGCAGCAGCAGGAGCTGCAGCAGCTGAAGGTGCAGCAGCAGGAGCTGCAGCAACAGAGGCTGCTGCAGCAGAAGCTGCAGCCGCAGAAGCTGCAGCAGCAGAAGCAGCTGCAGCAGAAGCTGCAGCCGCAGAAGCTGCAGCTCGTGAAGCAGCTGCAGCAGAAGCTGCAGCAACAGCAGCTGCAGAAGCAGCAGAAGCAAAAGCAGCAGCAGCAGAAGCAGCAGCAGCACGAGCAAGGACAGTGGAGGCAGCAAGAGCATATGCTAAAGTTGCTGTTGCTGCTGCAGCAGAAGCAGCAGCAGCAAAGGCTGCAGCAATAGAAGCAGCAGCAGCAGAAGCAGCAGCAACAGTAGAAGCTGCACCAGCAAAACCTGTAGCAACAGCAGCAGCAGCAGCAGCTATGGCAGCAAAACCTGCAGCAGCAGCTCCTGTTGCTGCAGCAGAACCAGCAGCAGCAACCGAACCTGCAGCAGCGGAACCTGCAGCAGCAGAACCTGCAGCAGAAGAACCTGCAGCAGCAGAACCTGGAGCAGCAGCAGAACCTGCAGCAGCAGAACCAGCTGCAGCAGAACCTGCAGCAGCAGAACCAGCTGCAGCAGAACCTGCAGCAGCAGAACCTGCAGCAGCAGAAGCTGCAGCAGCAGAACCTGCAGCAGCAGAAGCTGCAGCAGCAGAAGCTGCAGCAGCAGAACCTGCAGCAGCAGAACCTGCAGCAGCAGAAGCAGCGACCCTGGATGCTGCAGCAACAACGGAGTCTGCTACGGCAGCAGCTGCAGCAGCAGCAGCTGCAGCAGCAGAAGCTGCAGCAGAAGTTGCAGCAACAGAAGCGGTAGGTGCACAGGCTGCAGGGACGGAAGCAGCAGCAGCAGCAGCAGCAGCAGGAAGTTCAGCAGCAGAAAGTACAGCAGCAGAACCAGCAGAAGCAACAACGGGAGAAGCAGCAGCAGCAGATGCTGCAGCAACAGACGGTGCTGCAGCAGTAGCTGCAGCAAAAGCAGCAGCAGCAGCAGAATCTGCAGCAGCAGCAGCAGCAGAATCTGCAGCAGCAGAAGCTACAGCAGTAGAGGCTGCAGTGGCAGAAGCAGCAGCTGCAGTAGCAGCAGCAGCAGAAGCTGCAGCAGCAGAAGCAGCAGTAGCAGAAGCTGCAGCAGCAGAGGCTGCAGCAAGACAAGCAGCAGCAGCAGAGGCTGCAGCAAAACAAGCAGCAGCAGCAGAAGATGCAGCAAGAAAAGCTGCAGTAACAGAAGCTGCATCAAGAAACGCAGCAGCAGCAGAAGCAGCAGCAGCAGAAGCAGCAGCAAGACAAGCTGCAACAGCAGAAGCTGCAGCAAGAGAAGCTGCAGCAAGAGAAGCTGCAGCAGCAGAAGCTGCAGCAAAGAAAGCTGCAGCAGCAGAAGCCGCAGCAAAAGAAGCAGCAGCAGCAGAAGCTGCAGCAAGAGATGCAGCAGCAGCAGAAGCTGCAGCAAGAGATGCAGCAGCAGCAGAAGCTGCAGCGCGACAAGCTGCAGCAGCAGAAGCCGCAGCAGCAGAAGCCGCAGCAGCAGAAGCCGCAGCAGCAGAAGCCGCAGCAGCAGAAGCTGCAGCAAAAGAAGCAGCAGCAGCAGAAGCTGCAGCAACGAACGTTGCAGTAGCAAGCAAGGCTGCAGCAGCAGAAGATGTTGCAGCAGAAGCTGCAGCAGCAACAACTGCAGCAGCAGAAGATGTTGCATCAAGTGCTGCAGCAGAAGCTGCAGCAACAGAAGCAGCAGCAGCAGCTGCAACAGAAGCAGCTGTGGCAGATGCAGCAGCAAAAACGTGTGCAGCGCATGCAGCAGCAGCAGCAGCAGCAGCAGCAGCTGAAGACACAAATATCGCAGCAACAGCAGCAGATACCGCAGCAGCAAATACAGCAGCAGCAGCAACAGCAGTTGCAGACACCGCAGCAACCAACGCAGCAGTATCAGCAGCAACAAACACTGCAGCAGCAGCAGCAGCAGCAGCAGCAAATGCAGCAGAAGCAGCAGCACTCGGTGAGGGCACTCCTGTTGCTGCTGCTGCAGCAGCAGTAAAAGCTGAACCAACTGCATCTGAGCAGCTGCTAAAGGAGCAGCAGCAGCAGCAGCAGCAGCAGAAGCAGGAGCAGCAACCCATGCTGAAGGAGGAGAAGCAGGAGCAGCAGAAGCAGGAGCAGCAGAAGCAGGAGCAGCAGCAGCTGCAGCCGATGCTGAAGCAGGAGCAGCAGCAGCTGCAGCCGATGCTGAAGCAGGAGCAGCAGCAGCAGAAGATGGAGGGGCAGCGGCAAAACGAACAACTGCAGCAGCAGCAGAAGCAGCAGCAACAGCAGCGGCGACTATCCCCGCTGCTGCAGCTGCTTGCGGATATCCCGTTCCTTCCTGCTGCTACCTGGAGGAGGCAGCAAGGTGGCAGCGCAGCAGCAGCAGCGACAACAACAGCAGCAGCAGCAACAGCAGCAACAGCGCTGGAGGGGAAGCCGCCCACTGGTGGGGCGCAGCCTTATTTGCAGCAACAGCAGCAGCAGCTGGAGCAGCAGCAGCAGCAGCAGCAGCGGAGCTCGTGGACACTGTTCGGGAGGTGGAGATGGCCTGGTTCAGCAGCAGCAGGGGCAGCAGCACCCTCCAGCAGCAGCAACAACAACAACAGCAGCAGCAGCGCATGCATGCGTTTGCTGCTGCAGACTGTTGCTGCTTCGGAAGCAAAAGAAGAAGCTGCTGCTGCTCCCCCACCCCGTGCAGACGAATATGCTGCTGCTGCTGCTGCTGCTGAGTTGTCAAGCCGCAGAGCAGCAGCAGCGCAGAGAGAAGCAGAAGCAGCAGCAGCAGCAGCAGCAGCAGCAGAAGCAGCAGCAGAAGAAGAAGCAGCAGCAGCAGCAGCTGCTGCGTTTAGGGCAAACCCCAAGAGAATGTTTCGCTTAGATCTGCGAATGTTCGAGCCACCGCGCATAACAGCAGCAGCAGCAGCAGCAGCAGGACCACCAGCAGCAGCAGCAGCAACAGCAGTAGGTGCAGCAGAAGAGGAGGAGTCTGCATCAACAGCAACAGATAGAGCTGCTGCTGCTGCTACAGCTGCAGCAGCTGCTGCTGTCTGTACTGTTGACGCGCAGCAGCAAATGCTGCTGACGTCCGTTGCTGCTTGGAAACCCTTCGATGAATCCAGCAGCAGCAGCAGCAGCAGCAGCAGCAGCAGCAACAGCATCGGTGTCATCAAGACACCCATAGTAACTCCAGCAGCAGCAGCAACAGCAGCAAAAGCAGCAGCAGCAGCAGCAGCAAGAGGGAAGAGTGTCTCCCCCTTCAAGCAGCTTATAGAGGAAACGCAAAGGGCGAGGAACGAATTGCTGCAGCAGCAATTGCTAGAGGAAGAAGGTATAGCAGCAGCAGCAGCAGCAACAGCAGCAACAGCAGCAACAGCAGCAGCAGCAGCAGCAACAGCAGCAACAGCAGCAACAGTAGCAGCAGCAGCAACAGTAGCACCATCAGCATTTCCCCTACTAGATGTTCCGTGAACATTCCGTATGCGTTCCTGCTTCTGCTGCTGTTGTTGTTGCTGCTGTTGTTGCTGCTGCTGTTGTTGTTGCTGCTGTTGCTGTTGCTGTTGCCGCTGCTGTTGCTGCTGCTGCTGCTGCTGCTGTGTACAGAGGAGCGGAAGGAAGCTGAGAGGTTGGAGGCCCTTAGGCAACAGGCAGAACGAGAGCGCAAGGAGAAAGAAGAGGTGCTGCTGCTGCTGCTGCTGTTGCTGCTGCTGCTGTTGCGGCTGTTGCTGCTGTTGATGTTGCTGCTGTTGCTGCTGCTGCTGCTTCAGAGGACCTGGCTGTTATGTGTTTGCTGCTGCTTCTGCAGCAGCAGCAGCAGCTGCTGCTGCTGCATTCAGTTTGATTGCTTCTTTTGCTGCTATTAGTCTACTGCTGAACTGTCACTGCTGCTGCTGCTTTTGCTGCTGCTGCTGCTGCTGCTGCAGGCAGCAAGACGCCAGGCGTTACTGGAGCAGCAGCGTATAGAGGAGGAGAAGAGACGACAGCAGCAGCTGCAGCAAGAGAAAGAAAGAAAAGAAAAAGAAGAGGCAGAGAGACAGAGGAAGCAAAAAGAACTAGAGGAGCAGCAGCGGCTGCAGCAAGAGCAGCAGC